TATTTCATTAATTCAAAATAATTCTAACCAAGGTAACAATTTTGTAATTCCTTTTGGAATATTTGCATTACTTGCCTTAAATCCATTATCCTTCATTATATATTTCTCTACTATAATTATCCAGTTTTTTTTACTTTTGACCTCTGCAAGCATTCATTTTTAATATAATTTCCTGTGTTCTTTAAATATTGTAAACCTTCATGATATATATCTGGCACGATTCAGTCAAAAAAAAAAAAAGAAGAAGAAAGAAAGAAACAAAGCAGTCATGGAAGTCTATTTAGTTTTAGTTACATGGTGTTTGGCAATGATAATACAACATTTAGTTGGAAGATCAATCTCTCTTTAAGTTGTGGTTCAAAATCCATGACAATTAACAAGCAGACTTCCGTAGATGTGAGATTGGGCTCCAGTTTTAGTCCTACTAGAGTAAAAACTGTTAGATTATGCTAGAGTGATACTCATAAACTCTGAAGCTCCTAAAAAAGTAGAAGTTTCAAAAAGACATCATGTATACATTAAAGAAAACAATGCAATAGCTGTCTTTTGCATGGTTCACTTATTTATTTTTAAAGCTGACTTTGTTTCTCTAACTCCCTATAAAAGCCTTTTGAGTCTCTTTGCATTACAAATAAATGACTACTTTGGGTGTAATCTCCCAGGGCCTTTTTGGAGAGAGGAGACATTAAGTATGTACAGTTTATACTACAAAGAAGAGCTTTAGCCAATCTAATAATGCTTGTGCAGAATGATAAGTGCTGACCACACACAATTTCTGTTGACTTGATTTGTAGCTGTGTGTGCTCAGGATCTCTTGTGGTTTAAAATCCAGTGTGCTACATGATGATCCAAAAACTTAGTTCAGTCACTGGAAAAAGGCAAATCAACAACAGAGGTCTTAGTTTGGTTCATGTTTGTCAATCAGAAAATAAGTCTTTTGGCTTATTTTTTTTGTGTATTTTTTTTTCAAACGCTATATTTATACTAGTATAAACCCTAGCATAGAAAGAGATTAAATAACATAATGATGCTTAAAATGATCACAGTTTAGGCACATTATATGTAGGGATTAGATACATGAATAAATATCTACCTATGCATGGCTATATGTGACTGTATGTACAACACAGGTAAAATTAGAATTATCCTTGCAGAGAAAACCGAGGTACTAAATACTAAAATGTTAGAGTGAAGCCACCTTTTCTTTGAAGCTTGTAACTGTACTGTTAGAGTACAGTTCAATTTTCAGTAGAAATCTTGGCTGTTGGCTGTACTATGATAGAGAGCCTCTTCCTAATTGTGGGTCAGTGATGTCTCTGCAGGAGACTTGTGCTGTGTTAGCCTCTACAGCACATGCCTAGGCATGAAACTTTCATAACGTTGTTGTCCACATCATCCCACTTTACTGATCTTATACACATTTGATCACAATATCAATGAGTAAAGTATTTGACCCAAACTGCATCTAATGGAAAGCAAAATTGAAAGGAAAAAAAAAAAAAAAAAAGCAAAATTACGAAATATCAGGACATCTGCTCATTGACTCCTGTGGGTGCAGTCAAGGACCAGAAATATTTTACCACTGTCCCCTTGAAAAAATACTTTGAGTCTTCTTTGCAATGATCTGCACAGATTATATGTAGCATATTTCCTTTGTTTAGAGGGGGAAAAACTATATATTTTTTTCCTGTTATATCAGTGGTGTTACACATCTTCATTTGCTAAGTTTGTTGTATGCTGGGAAGAAAAAAAAAAAAGGAAAAAAAATAGAAAAAAGTCTTTTGCCTTTGTGCACATTCATGGACACCTTTTAAGAGATTCTACTTTCTTCACTAGATTACCTCACATCAGATTGAATCCATCTCAGTTTTTAAACTGCTATGGCATCCGCATTGTCTACAACAGATTGTTGACTCATTACAATTCTGAAAAAAATCACCTCTGTACACTAACAAAAGGGGCAGTGTATCTTGAGAACTCTGTGTATGACAAACTGACATATACAATAAATACGAATTTTACTACAGAAACAGATTGAAATTATATAGTTCATTTGAACCTTTTTCCAACTTCAGCTTAGTCCCAGCTAAAGCACACAGGAAATAAACATGTTGAGCTGTCTAGCACCAGGCAACTATCCAGGTCCTGTGCTGTCTAGCACTGGGCTAGGCTTATCCATCCAATCAACATTAGGAAGTTTATTTATGTGAGGCAGATATATTAGTAATAAATGGATTTATTCAGTAGCTTGCTGGATTTATACATGTACAAAATCATTTAAGTTTAGGGAGACTTAAAACTGAGTGACCCACTATTTGTATGCACTGCAGGCTGAAGCCCTTATAGAAGGTCTACCCTGCTCCTCACCAAGGAAAAAAAAAAAAAAAAAAAAAAGTCAGTGGGATGTTTGCTGGAGGAATACCTGCAAAAGACTTGGGAACTGGTGAAATGCAAGCGGGCATGCAGTTTGCTAAATGGCGAATCCAAGGATTATGGTGTATTAGTATCCATTGTAGGCAATGTTCCATACCTAAGGGTCCGTTTTGATTTTTACAGACCCAGATAGTTTGTAAAAGAGAAAAAAATCATAGAAATACATTCAAAAGGGATGTTTGGGTTTCCTTTCTCACACCTATTTGTACTACAGGCAGATTTTTTTCTAAGGCATGCATTTGAATTGCATGTCAGGTCTGTGCTGCATCGAAGGCTGTTTTCACTGATTCGGCTGTTGTTTTTTGGAAAACAAGACAGAGAATTCACTTTAATGCTATAGTTCAACCAATTCAATCAGATAGTGAGTGGCACATTCTCACCTCATTTGCAGTTTTTAATTCCAATTGGACATTGCTTTTGAAATGTCCCTTCGCTTTTCCCCCCTTATGCTGCCACTTGAAAGTTGAAATGTAGCAAGAATGTAATGTTAGGTGCCAGTTTTCTGAATTACAGGGTGACTGCTTTAGCTGATCCCGAAAAGCAAGTGTCTCTTTATACCGCATAAAAGCCTGAAATGTTTACATATCAAAAGGCTATAGGCCAATTTCTGTCAAAATTATACATGAAGTTAAGCAGTACAAGCAATTTATTTAAACACTAGTCATTGTAGAAAAATTCAAAACCATATGCTCTTTTAGCAGTTTTTCACAAATGCATTTGACCCATGACTTGGCAAGACATGCATGCTTCATAATTTACTCTAAATTTCAAATCCCCTTGACGTTTAAATAAAAGATCTTCATTAATAAAGTTTATATGAATGAAAACTTTAGAAGCTGATATTGTTAGAGGGAAGCTTTAGAAAAAAACGCGTTTCTGCCTCGTTTTCAAATGACTGACTTTCCTAATCAGTTCAAGATAAGTTTATTCTGGGAACAAATTACCGTAATTTCGCATTGTATGATTTTTTTTTTCTTTTCGGTGAAGTAATGATGCAATCAATTTGAAACAAACTTGGGGAACGCCGAAGGGCGATGGCATCTGCACGTGAGAGAGGTGCTGCGAAGCGCTCTTTCCGAGAGGTTTTTCGGGGAGGACGATGCTCCAAACCCTCCACTCGGTCTTAGCATCCCCCCGTGCAGCAGCGGCTGAGGCTCCCCGGTCTCTTTCTCCGCGAGGCCCCGGTCTGTGCCGCCGCGGCTGCGCGGGGCCCCGCTGGGGATGCGCGGCTGCGGAGCCCCCGTGCCCGCGGCAGCCGCGCCGGGCAGGCGGTGCGCTTCGCATCCCCAGCATTTAGTCCTTAATGCCTTAAAATAAAAAAAGCCGGTCGATTTCTGAACGAGCGCATTTTCATAGACTTGTGCATGGTGATTGCTTTGTATGAAATCGTGTTGAGGTAATAATATTGAAAATCAGTGCAGTGTTTACTTTATTTCATACCTAACAGCTTGTTCTGCGCGGTGCTATCCTCCTCTTTAGATCTCCCTTTCAGCCCATGCTGTGACTGTCCTCCGGTAACAAACAATTGCTTAGCAACACTATGCAGCACAATTTGCTTGCGTTTCATTTGTTATTACAATTTCATCCCGACATTGTGTGACAACTGATTGTTTGTTTAACGCAATTTTACGTTTGCAAAGTTAGCGAGGAGCGGATGTGAAATGAGAAACTCCTAGAGCAGGTTTTGCGAAGTGGGTAGCAAAACCGGGGTTTGCACGGCAAGACTTCCCAGATTAAAACAAAACAAAACGAGAACTTTCCCAACGGGGGTGACAAGGTCTTTGAAAAAAAAAAAAAAATGTAAATTGGGAAGAAAGGTGAGCATTGCAGCGTGGCAGACCATCGTTCAGTAGAGCCTCATAGATCGAAAAACTGCTCGGGAAGCTCAGAAGCTGAGTTCTCTCGCAGCACAGGCGGTGTGTGCCCTGCCAACCCCCGGCTGCCCCTCGGGGGGGAGGTGGAGAGGTCCCGCGATGCCCGACCCGGCCCCGCGGAGCTGCTTCCACCAGGGCGAAGCAGGACGGGAGCGACGGGGACGCCCCGATGGGAGGGGAGCGCAGCACCCAGGGAACCCCACCGCGGGCCTGGGGTCACCGGGAGGGGCAACAATTCGGGGCGCCGGGGGGGTCCCCGACAGCGCGGTGTCCCCGCCGCCTGGGGCTTGGCCCGGCCCGGCCCGGCCCGGCCCAGTGGGGTGGCTCCGAGGAGGCCCCCAGGGCACCCGCGGAGGAGGCAGAGTCCAGGGAAGCCGCCGGTGCCCCTGCGGCTCTCCTCGGGCTGGGGTCACGGCTCGCCCGAAGCCCCCGTCTCCGCCGGGAGCTGCAGGGGCCGCCGAGGAGATGCTACCGAGCGCTGCAGCAGGGCCGCTGGGGACGTGGACGAGCATCCCGATGGAAGAATTAAGCCCTGCGTTGCTCTGTGTGCGGCGTGGCCGAGACAGACCCCGAATATTACTTACCCCCAACCCCCCCCACAAAAAAAAAAAACACAACCACCTACAACCCAAAACAAGATCACAAAAAAAAAAAAAAAAAAAAAAAAAAAAAAAAAAAAACAACAACCTTGAATTCACACCAAACTAACAAAAAGGAAAAAAAAAATAAAAAAAAGAAAACTCCACGTCAAATAGTTTCACTTTACATCAAATTTGCAAAATCCGCACGAAGGTCAGCTCCTAAATACCGAAGGCGGAAAGAAATTGATCAGGAAATAAATGAAGCAAAGCAAACGACGCTAATAATTTGTCTCATCGCGGTGTATTAATAAAGTGAGAATTAAGTCCTGGGGTTCTTTTTCCTCCACGTTCATACGAGTCTTTTACTAGAAATAGGTTTTTGGTTGAGATCGTTCTCAGATGCAGTTATAAATCCCAGAATTTCGAGGAAAGGAAGGATAAAAGTGCGAGTAAGCGCTAACGAAGATATTTTTTTTTGTTGAGGCAAAATAATGTGTTCCTCGTAAACGGACCTTAATGGGTTATTTTCATTTCATGCGTACAATTTCCTACCTTCTTTGATGGAGGGCTGATGGGGTAAATAGTCTAATCTTATTCAGTTCACCTCCTGTGGATTCCCAGTGACAGTCGTGACAGACGAAGTATTCTGCAAATCACAAGAGCCAGCTACCAAGAGAGCCAAACGTCTTAACAGGAAGAGTTTTAGGGACTTTTTAAACTGCTCCATTTTAAATTCTCAGAGCATGCAAAATATAAAGTTCGCCGTAACACCGCAACTCTATAAGCTTCGTTTTCTAAGCTAGGAAAGAATTTATTTTTCCTTAGAAAAAGAAAAGAAAGAAGCACCGGAATGGAGATCAAAAGCGAATCGGAACACCTACCAGACCCGGGGATTTGAGATGGCAGTGGTCATTAACATTTCCACCTTCTGGCTTGTTTAAAAATAGAAAGTGATAGCTGTCTGGATCTGAATCTGCAGAATAGAACACAATAAAATTGTTTACAACATTCACGTGTCTCAGTTCCGCCAGGTGATCTATGAAAAGAGGAAAAAAATAGTTCGTTTACTCAGCAGAAGACGTTGTTACATCAGTGCATAAAGCTTAAATCAGAGCAACGTACACTCCTCAATGCCGCTTCAGTTCTCCGAGCCGGGGGACGCAGGACTCAAACCCAGCTAACAGAAACACTTGGGGGGAGGGGGGATTGCATGCTTATACCGAAGTTTATTATTTTTTTTTTAAACTTGCTTCTTAACCAATTCGAAGCATAAATAACGAATCTGAGCTTCAGACGGAGGAAATCGCACCCACTAATGTGAACTAACACGAGCAAAGTAGGTGCATAATAGACGAGGCTAGGAGCTGCTAACCACTTCTGCACAATGGCATTAATAAGATTAACCTGGGCAATTAGCCGGTGCAGCAGAGATCAAGCCTAAATCTGGGGCCTTTCAAAAAAGCCCACTAATGGAAAGGATTACGTTAATTTCATTAATTCTCAATACACAGACCCAGGCTCCTTTCACTCCTTTGTGTAACCCCCCACCTCTTCCCCACCGAAAGGAAGGGGGGGGGTGCAAAATCAAATCTGGTTTTGTTTGTCATCTGCATATTACCAGGAACTAAATCCAGGATGACGTCGCCTGGGTATAAAAAAGGGAAGAGGTTCAGATGGATTATACTCCGTGCAGCCCTCTGGGTTGAGATCAGTAAACAGGCGAGAGTTGAGGGGGGAAAGTTCCAGGGGTGGATCCAGCGCACACACACACGCGCGTTCACACGCACAGCGGCGCGCAGACACACACGCACACTCTGCCCGCCAGCTGCCCTCGGAAAAAGCTCCGCTCTTTTCTCTCCGAGCCCCCTCTTTTTTTTTTTTTTTTTTTCTTCTTTCCAAAATTCCTCCGAAAAGTTTCGATTCCCCGTCTCCTCCGGCCTCCCCCGCCCTCCACCGCAACCACCCTCCCTCCCCCCCGCGGCCGGTCCCCGCTGCCCTGCCCCGGCACGGTTTGGGGCATGCCTGTGAGCATGTTCAGCATCGACAACATCCTGGCGGCCAGACCTCGCTGCAAGGACTCGGTGCTGCTGCCCCCGAGCGCCGCGCCCGTCGTCTTCCCCAGCCTCCACGGGGACTCGCTCTACGGCAGCGCCTCCGACTACGGCGGATTTTACTCCCGGGCGGTGGCACCGGCCTCGGCGCTGCCGGCGGTCGGCGGGTCCCGGCTCGGCTACAACAACTACTACTACGGGCAGCTGCATGTGCCCGCGTCCCCCGTGGGCCCCTCGTGTTGTGGGGCCGTGCCGGCCCTGGGAGCTCAGCAGTGCTCCTGCGTCCCCCCCGCAGGTAAGGGGCACGGCGGGGATGTGGACGGGTTTGGGACGGGATCGGGACGGGATGGGCTGGGACGGGACCGGACAGGACCGGACGGGCTTTCTTTGTTCCCGGAGCCGCGGGGTTAGGAGGGGGTGGCGGGGAGCGGGGGTTTCTCCGGGGGGAGCAGCAGTCTCATGCGAAAGCCTGTCGTCGTCTCGTCTGTCTGTCCGTAGGTTACGAGGGCACTGGCTCAGTGCTGATGTCCCCTGTTCCCCATCAGATGTTGCCCTACATGAACGTGGGCACTTTGTCCCGGACGGAGCTGCAGTTACTCAACCAGCTGCACTGCAGGCGAAAAAGACGGCACCGGACTATCTTCACTGACGAGCAGCTAGAAGCGCTGGAAAACCTCTTCCAGGAAACCAAATACCCAGACGTGGGCACCAGGGAACAGCTGGCCAGGAGGGTGCATTTAAGAGAGGAAAAAGTGGAGGTATTTCGGGCCGCCCTCTCCCTTTGCCTTTAAACGCGCGGGGCGGAGGCGCCTCTCTACGGCTCCTCCAGAGCAACAGGTTTGCCGAGGGGAAAGGGGTTGAGATAGGTTGGGGGGCATTTTATTTTATTTTTTCCCATTTTCCCAGGGTGTCCTTGTGGGGGCGGCCGGCGGCAGCCGTTCTCCCATGGAACCCCGGCGGGAGAGCGCCCGTCGGAGCACGGCCGCCGCCTGCGAGGGGCTGCGGGTGGGACAGGGCAGGGCCCGAGGGGGGAAGAAGGGGGGAGGCGGGGGCTGCGTGTCCCCTAACCATCTGCCTGTCCCCTAACTGTCCCCCTAACGTAACCACCCGGCTTCCTCGCCCGACAGGTTTGGTTCAAAAACCGCCGGGCGAAATGGAGGAGGCAAAAGAGGTCGTCTTCGGAGGAGTCGGAAAACGCGCAAAAATGGAATAAAGTGTCCAAAACGTCTCCGGAGAAGAGGCAAGAAGACGGCAAAAGCGACTTGGACTCCGACAGCTGATGCCTCGCGGGGGGCCGCTTCCCGTGGACTGTAGGATACGCTCCGGAGGATGCTACTATCTTGCACAGGCTCTGCCTTGTCGGAGGGGGAAACTATCTGTATATAATGTACAATACCCCGAGTTGATTGCGTGTAAATAAAATGTGGTGCGGAGGTGTTGCACAGGTAGACGGCGGCGCGTCTGCGGGCCGGCGGCGAGCGCGGCGGACAGGGGCGAGGGGCGGCTGCTGCAGGCGGGTTCGCGCCGTGGAAGCCGGCGCAATGGGGCCCAACGGGGCCCAACGGGACCCCGGGGAGCCGGGGGGAGCCGGGGCGGGGGGCCGGGGCTGGGGCCGGCCGCCTGTCCCCTGCCAGGGCCCGAGAGAGCGGTCGCCCCCGGCGAGGAGGCTGGCAGGTGCCGCCTGGAGGGCTCCGGCGGAGCGCTGAGGCTTGGCCCGGCTTGGCACGGCTCGGCCCTGCTTGGCCCAGCTCGGTTCGGCCCGGCCCGGTCCGCCCCGGTTTCTCGCAGGGACCCTTGGGGGCCGAGGCTGCGGGCCGTGGGCCGCGGGCGGCTGCAAACTTTGCTCCTTCTCTCGTCCTTCTTCGCTCCATCCGCCTGTAATCATATCGATCTGGGGATTTGTTGGGCCCGCGGCAGCACGCCTGGCTCTCTTCTAGTTTTATTTTCTTCTTTTCTCCCCCTAACAGCCCTGGTGGGTAATCCCCCGCCCCCGTTGCTGCTCCCTCACCTCCTTTGTGCTCCCAGCTCGCAAACCTGAGTCAAGCTGGAAGCGATGCTCTTCAAAATTATTTGCAGGCAAAGCAAACCAGCCTCCCACTTGTTACTCTGTTGTATTTCCTTGCACTTTTCTCTCCCTCTTTCCTGCTTTCTGGACCTATGCCCTGCTGAGTTTCTGAAGAGTTTGTCTCCGATGTCCATCCTGAAAAGCTATCACACGAGCACATGGCGGTGTTCAGATCTGCTGTTAATAAATTTCAGAAGGACGGTATGAGCACTTGCATGTTGCTCTCAGGGATGTTCAATCAGAAGTTTTGTCCCCTTTGAGACAGCACCTTTAATATTAGGAAAGCAGGTCTCGCTTTACTCTTCCCTTTGGGAGGCCCTTGTAGTAGAGACACCTATTGTCCTTGTAAAATTCATGTCTGTTTGTTTTATGCATTTTTTCCTATGATTCTCAAACTCTGAGCACTCGTTCCCCCAGAGCTGAGCTACCTCTCCAAGACAGCCGTTTCCCTAGATTGTTTTGTTGAGAAAGGCCTTTCCCTCTCCTTGTCAATGAAGACTATAAATTGAAAACAATTCAATGTGAAGCCAATGCAGATAACTTCCAGCTAGAAATCTGCATGTTGTGTCTTTCCTTCAGAAGTTAAGATTACTTAGCAATAAGTGAGATGATTTTCTTTAACTACAGCCAACGCCTCACCTGTATCCATTCTGCTTGTCCGGGTTAGCCAAGATATTGGTTTATACAAATGCTCTCATCACTGCTTCTGGTGGCACCAGAAATGTTCTATACAGCTGTGTTGCTTGTCCTCATGCATTTTCCCCCTTGCATGATATATATATATATTTTAATTTTCTCTCTCTCTCTCTCTCTCTCTTTTTTTTTTTTTTTCATGGGTACTGTATCACAGTATGTAGAGTAGGTGCTAGTGCAATGGGGAGGATCTCAGTGGCTATCTGCTCAGGTAACATTTCCTAGCATACTTGTGTTTCTCCACAAATGTAGTAACTCTGAGCAAGCTCTCAGTGTACCGAGATGTAGGTATATTTGTGTGGAAGAAATTAACTCTGGTTTTGTACAAGTCAGTCCTTTAGGGGGCTTACAGTTTCATAGCTACTAGTCTCTTGAAGAAAAGAAGAACTTTAGCCTCTTTTGTTGCTTAGCACAGCAGAGAAGGAAGGTGAAGAGCAAACTTCTCAATGGATTCTTCTGCTTTGATACATATCAAAGTCTGGTTCTACAGAACTGTTGCATTTTGGAGATGCTACCCTATTGCATACATGCATCAGATGCATATCTGATCTCCATAAACTGTATTGAACTGCAGTCAATCAGCACTGAAAATTAGTCCAATTTACTAAAAACAGTTTTCAAAACAAGTGTTTTGTTATGTTATATGCAAGAAGTCTCACTTGAGAGGGTTTTTAATCCACCATTTCCTATGTATTTAGTCATTGTTAGATTTTTAAAGTGGTGAATTGGCCAACAAAAAGCCAAGTCTAAGGAGAGCATTCACCAGGATTTTGCAAATGCTTAAATATTTCCTTTATTTCCCATGTATAAATAGCCTCACTGCCACACTGAGAGCTTGGCAGAGTTTTGTTTTGCTTTTTTTCTGTGCAAATACAGGAGGATGGTAATTTTGGAAGTCACTGTTAAGGACTTCAGCCTACTTAGTTCAATGTGAGAGTTAAACTGGATCTGGACTTGTAAGGGATGGTATTTAAATACATTTCTGATAACTAGTATGAGTTATTTAAAATTGTAGTTCATATCTTCAGAGATGTTTAGATTTTTCCAGGGGATCAAGGTGCTCAAGAGCTGTGGGAGTTCCAGGTCACAGAACTTGCCCATTTGTGGACTTATTTTCAACTTTTTGTTCTGTGGAAGCAAATTATGTTACATTAGAACAAAAATCTTAAGTACCAAAACTAGTTTTCTATGCATGAGGCTGTGATGAAATCATCAGTGATTGCTTTAAAATCATACTGTACCTTAATCTGAGTTAATATCTGAGTTTCGTATGAAATCTTGATTACCAAAACCTGATGTTGCGGTCTCTGGTGTCTGTTCTTAATATTACATGTAGATGTAAATCTACTAGAGTTGATAATATTCCCTTAAAATGTAATTGGAAAGCATTTTTAATCTTGATCTAAAAGCTTTAGATTACTTAGTAAAAATGGTATTTGTACCATTAACCAGTAGGAGTAATGGCTACTCTTTTGAAAGAGGAGTATTCTCTCACTCTTTTTCTCAAAAGTGTGTGGCAAAACCTAAAGGTTTTGTTCTCCCTCTCTTGCACTTCTTACGCTACCAAATCAGATCCTATCTAGCCTGGAAAAAAAGTAGTGAGAAGATGGCATCAAAAGGACCAAGAAAGTAGAAAATAAATGATTCACAGGGTGAAGAAGATTGTAGTAAAATCTCTCTTTAAATTGTTGTGTTTCAATGACATAATCAAGCTCTACATGTTTCCCTCAATTTTTATTTTGGATGAACTCCTACAAGCCAAAATTAAAATCCCTCAAAACAATTTTCATTATTTTCTCTGTTAGTGTAATAGGGTAAGGCAAGGCAGGGGACCTGAATACTTGCTATGTTCTAACAGGTTCAGTTCTAACAAAGAAGCTTTGAAAGAGCTAGTTAAGGCGCTGTATATTCATACTTGTATAAGGAGTCTGAAAGATTTTTTTTTTTTTCATTTGGTCTGTGTCTCCTCCAGTGTAATTTACAATCTCGCATCTTGGTGTAAACCCGTTCTCAGAAGATTTAATATGACTGAAGAACTTGCTTGGCTATTTTTGAAGCATGCTGTTTGGTTCGTGGTATTGACATACTATCTAGGTTTTAGAACACAAGTTCAGTTTCTTGCTGAAACTGATTTTCTTCCACTGATTTTCTATGAAGCTTTGGACTTTTTGTTTCTAAATTTGGTTGTAAAATGAATACTATTCATTTCAGATCTCACAGGAGAGAAAGAGTGGGGGGAGGTTTACAAGAAGAAAATTCCAGATAATGTTATGCATTATAAAAATAATTGAATAATTATACAATAGGACCACACTCTAAATAAATCTTCCTAACACTAAGCTGTTTAAGTTTATGAAATTTTCCAGAATGGGAAAGTCATAACATGGGACATCTAAAGCTAGGGATAGAAGACTGAAGTAAGGGTACAACACAGAAACATTCTGCCGTGTAAAGTCAGCTTGAGCAATTTGATGGATATCTTCATCTGTGCCTTCTGTATTTAGATGGCCAAAATTTGTTTCTGTTTAATATGCTATTTACCATAGCTATTCCAAGTAGTCTTGTAGTAAGTAAGTAAGTGTAAGTGTAGTAACTAAGACTGGAAAGCAGAGGTCAAATTATTTTGGCTGACATAAAGTGATTTATTTCAGCTGAAAATCTGTACTCCCCCCGATCCCTGCTTCAATTTTACTAATACTTAACTGTTTCTGAGCTTTACCATAATGGGATCCTGGGAGTATAAACCATGCAAGCTCTTTCCTACATGACTTGTGAAGCAAACATTTGGATTAGTGGAAGTCATAATAAATAAATAAATAATTGCAACACTAAGTTGAGTTCATATATTTTTGTGCTCCGTCTGCATTTATTGGTTCTCTGGGGTTATACACCATGGAGCATAAATGAACAAAAACCCAAAGAGTTTTTGTTTTGTGTTCTACTCCCTTAAGGTTTCATTCCATTTACACTTTATGTTTTCCTACTTTGGAGACTTAACTAAATCTAGACAGAGAAGTTCAGTCAAATTGCTTTGTTTCTCTGGGGCTGCCACTTACCCTGATTTGATATACAGAGTCTGTTATACAAAGGTAACAGTTGTAGCTGCAATACCTTAGATTGCAATTAATACAAAGTTTAAATGACCTATCTCTAAAATATCTGACAACTTTAACCATAGAAACCTGTGTTGTTTTGGTACAAACCAGAATATTGTAACTACACAGAGAGGGAGGAGTGGCAGTTTCAAAACAACTTAAAAAAATCAGACTTCTTTTACTTTTTGTTTTCAGGATAGAAAACAAAAAAATGTTTCTCTGTCTACAGAGAAACATATCCCTTAAGGACATAAAGCTAAACTTAATGCATAACTGAATGGAATAATATAGAGCCTCAGCAGGAGAAAGGCCATGATACTTATAGCTTGAAAGTACCTGTGCAGTTGAATGTTGAAAGTTACATCATCCTTGTCTTCTAAATGATGTCTGAATACTGCTGTTTGCATTTCTTTCCTTCTCCTCATCTAGACAAACATGCTAGCTTGCCTTGGAGATTTGGAGCCACACCTGTTTAGTATACCTCAAAACATATTTGATACATGTGCCAACTTAGAAGTTCTAATTGTCCCTTTACATTATATCCAGACAAAGGGCCTTCCCTGTATTTCTGAACTAAGCATTGAATCTTCACTAG